CATACATGTAGTTATGAGACGATCTGTTGAGCCACACAGAATGCGAGATATTTCTCGTCCAATGAGAATAAGCGCTGGAAAGCCGAAGGCCCGTATGAATGGCTTTGTAACATGGCCAAACGTTTGCTTTAAAATCGTAGAGTTACGAGATAAGTTTAACGGTATAAACCGTATCACGTGTTGAGGCTTCGTAAAAAAAATTTTGTCTAGAAACGTTGTCTAGTGCCTAGTGTATAAATAAAACCAATAAAAACAAGGRATAGGTTGCTATCAATAGACGTCACTTCCGGTAATAGCTCTTTTTTGATGGCTTGTAGAATCCTGGAGGTTGTTTTGATCTCTTGTTTTCTGGTTTGATGTCGTGAAAATAGTCAAATACGATAGTTTGAGGACTTATTTTGATATGTTTTGACTTAGCATCCGCTAGATGCCCCCCAGTCAACCGCTTGTTTGCCCCCCAGTCAACTCCAAAAAAGTCACGTGATTGATAGTAAGCAATAGGAAAAGCGATGATAGAAAAGAATATATGATAAAAATTCTGGATGTCTTTGCTCTTATTTTTCTCATCGAAAGGMGAGTAACATTGTAARTTATTGATAATGCTTTACTTCAGTTAATAATAATGCTGATACTTCAATTTATTAAAGAACGACTTTAAAAAAACAAAGTTTTTGTTTGACATAGTTACGCATCAATGTACTTTGCTATGTACTTTGCATCCTCATTTTTATTCAATTCATTGAAGATGTCGTCSCCATGACAACGACAAGTAGTCTTCTTACGCTGGTCTTTACATTTAATCGTTTATCAAAAGTTACTTTGATCAAGACTATTTTTTGACTAATCTTAAGTGTTTTTCCCAAAAACTGTTCTGTTCGTACGTATGTCCTGTATGTTCGTACGTCCACTCGAAGATTGAAAATGTTCAATCGCCTGAGAGAGTGAAACTACRTCCATGACTTTAAGTGCTCCCCCCTCCCACACACACACACACACGTATCACAGCATGTTCATCGATAACAACGAGCACACAAAGTGAGGAAAAAAGCAAAGGATAATCATACTTGGRCACCCATTGGCGCCATATCTTCGGGGGTTTGCCGTTTTGTCTGTGCCTAAAATAGAGCACATACTAATTTTATGTTCAAATAGACCAAAAAAAAGGTTGTTATAATTAAGATTTTTTATCGCCATATTCATCATAGCTATGCAAATTTCCAAAGAAAGGCCGAAAAAACACTTAAAAACTGGCTAAAGATTTACTTTCTGAAAATGAAAAAATGGGTTTGACCGACAGGCGCACGCGGCAAAGGCCTCGCTTTGATGTCAACACAGGGACCCCAATATCTTCAGGAAACATSAAATGTTGGTCATTTTTGTCAGAATTAGTCTCATTAGTGTCATTTCGTTAATCTTTTCTTGCTTCATTATTCGTGCCGGTTTATGCCAGATTGAGATGTGTTTGCCAGTACTATCCACTTGTCTGTTGTTTATCTCGTTGGCATGGCAACACTGAGTTTTATAAGATGACAGATAGCGGCACTTAACTCTACTTAACCTTAATTGAATGAGCTACTCATCATGGATTTTACATATTGAATCATCTATTTTCAAGGGTTTGTCTGGAGCTCCAGTCTTCGAGTTAGATTATACACAAATTCTTTAAAAATCTAAAGCTAGGTTGAAATACAGAATACCTTTTCTTTATTCTGACCAAATTTGTAAATGTGTAAATGTCTTTTTTCGGTGGTAACGTTTATGACATTGACTTTATATGTTTTCAATAWGCAGTACTACAGAGTATTCCGGCAACCTTTTTCAATAGCTTAAGCCCAAGTACGCATCTGGAAGGAAARATATTTTTAGCAATTCTCAGTATGTATTGTTTAAAATAATTAACGACTAAATGTTTGRCAAATGACAATAAGTTAATTTATAGATATTCAATATACACCGTTTAGGTTACAATTAACTCATACATCTCAGCATCCGATATAGAACTTTTGTATATTGATGGATTGCAAGCATTCCCAAGAGAGTCAAAAGACATAAGCATGGCGGCTATTGTGGTGCCGTTAACAATGGGTGCTAATGAGAAATCTTTTGTTAAATGGCACCAACATGGCCGCGATGACGTAACGTGCAATCGAAGAATAGTATATCCATTACATGACTTTAGAGTGGTCTTGGCCCCGATTATAAGATAAGAACACCCGTACGTATTTTTTTTAGCACGATGGTCCAATGTTTTGGAAGAATACTTTAATAAGGGTGTCTTTATCTTAAAGGATAGGACATTTCTTTGGTTTCACTCCTTGAGCGGAGAGATGGTTGATTGGACGATACYCGGTGACGTCATCTTTACGTGATGTATGTAATATTCGATTGGCTAATCAAACATACAAGGTTTATTATATCATCTTCGGTGAATCTTCGCGCCTCCAAACATTTCCAAGGATCACTMGGGTCATTTTCCGGCACCTATCGATGGTTTTCACAGCCGCCATGTTGGATGAATTTAACAAAAGATTCGTGATYARTYTCTTTTGTTATATCATCCAACATGGCCGCCGTKTCTTTTRTTATWTCGWTCTCTWGGGAAKGAWTGAAAACCAGCATTTCTAGCGACGGTAACCCGGTCTATGTATAAAATTTTATCCAATAAAAACCCAAGGAAGACCGATTAACCAAAATGTAATTTCCAATCGATCAAATTACAATTAATAAACTGCTTATTTCTGAAAACTAGCTTGATTTATGAGCACTTTAAGTCCAACAAAATTAACCCTGAAGGTGTTCAGTAATTTTAGAACTTTTTACGTATTAAGACCCGAATCAATTTTTTATGGAGGGCTCCACTCGAAAATAATGAACAAAATTAGTATTCCAGGTTTTAGTTTACAGTTTATAAGCTTACAGTTTATTCCAGCTTTTTAGCTTACAGTTTATTACATCGTGTTGTACTGATAAAACGTTTTTCTGGCGTTGTAGTTCCGTGTTTATGAAGAACTTCGTTTAGTCTTCTGTTTTGGGGTTTCATTTATGTTCACCTTTGCGAAGTTAATTAATCATTCCTGGACCTTTTTTTGTTCGCAGCGTCAGACTACCTTGATAAGAAACAAAATGAGTACTTGCATTAAAATCACGGAACAAACTACGTGCATGCAATAACTAAATAACTAATTTATTCTTAATTTCGTCAGTGAAGAGGGGGAGTGATTGCCAAGGGATGGTTTTAAGCTTTCGATGTCAGATAGAATCGGAATGAAGTTACTTCTCACGGATTAATTATAAAATTTGTGGCGACAAGTTTACTCCAATTTCCTCGATGTAACATTGAAGAACACTTGACGCCATAAATTTTATAACCAAAACTTTAAAAGCCAAATTATCTAGAAAGAATTCTCACGAAGGAAGAAAAAAAGGGGAAAAAAAAAACAATTAAAAAGTCTACTTACATGTGAAAGCGAGTTGCATATTCATATCTCTGGTAAATGGGTGGGAAACTAACTTGTAATGATCCATGAATACAGAGCCGGACCAATCCTTCCAATCAGCTAGAGCGTATTTTTATTACGAATTTGTAAACATCAGAAGTAAGTTATGAACTTCTGTAAACACCTATTTTTAAAAAAACGTCGCTCGGAGATCTGAAATGAGCGATTTGAGGGTAAACGGAATATTTGTGCTTTATGTTTTCTGGATAAAATGCGAAAAAACTTTCCTAACTAAAAAATCATGATTCGTATTCCAATCTAAAAGGAAACTACGTTGTTCGGCATTGCATATATTACATTTTCAGATTCTCAGATTTCAGATTTCGGACCGACAACGTTTTTTGAAACAGGTGTCGACTAATTCAAGAAGTGGTGTTCCTGCTACTTTTAATAGTGAATAGCGAGTTTTAACCAGAATCGTCATAAAAAACTCAGGTTGATTCTTTATTCCTGGAGATTTAATTCTTTATTCCTCATAACGATGCAACAGCCGCCATGTTGGTTGATCTAACGCACAGAGAAGTTATGTCAACCAACATGGCGGCTATGACGTAACAGGCACTCTAAGAATATCTAATTAAACCGGGCCCACACAACGTATATTAAACCCTATCATCAGAAGGTGTGGTGCGCTATTAGCCATTCTGACGTTGAGAAGAATAGGTCGAGCTTGCATTACAGTGCATTGTGGGACTGTTTTAGGGGACGAAGTAGACGCCATTTTGACAATGTGTTCTCTAAAACCGTCCCACAATGCAATGTAATGCAAACTTGACCCAGTTTTTCCTCGACCTCAGAATGGCTTATGCAAATTACTGCTTGTGTTTGAAAACTTTTTTTTTTTTTTTTGCAAAGAAAAATAAAGCAAATATAAAAGAAGGGTTGCATYATATTTGTTAGGTCTTTCCCTTGATTCAAGGGTTTTTTTCTCTTGTTTTCCTCCCTCCGCAAAACCAAACACGYTAAATTACAATTTGCTTCTTGAGTTTACTCCAAAGAAGACCTAACTTCCAAATTTTTTAGGGAAATGATTGCAAGATAGTTTTAATGATATAAAGCAACGTTGGCAAAGACCTGGGGCTCAGACGCCACATCTGCTAAGCTAGCTGGTGCACTGACGCCATACTAACCCATGTTTGACACCGGTATTCAAATCATAATCGCCTGGAAGCAAGTGTTATACCCTGGGGTCCAGAGGTTATTTATTCTCTCTGTAGCGTTTGCTGTTCTCGCTCATTATAGCCACAGGAAGCGAAATAGAACYTCTGGAGCCAAGGGTGCAAGTGATATGACTTTAGCACGGAATGTGTCCCATTATGCTGCCTCTATAGGGAAGCATGGGTGGCGTAGCGGTGAGTGCGCTCGCCGCTCACTAATGCGACCCGGGTTCTTTCCTCGGACTCGTCGTATGTGAGAAGAAATTGTTAGTTCTCCCCTAGTGTGCTTCGACGGTTTTTCTCCAGGTTCTCCGGTTTTCCTATCTCCCTCCCTCCCTCCCTCCCTCCCTCCCTCCCTCCCTCTCTCCCTCATCAAATCAACTTCTAAATTCTAATTCGATCTAGGAAGGGCCTAGATGAGGATTACTCTGTGTAATTCTAGTTACCCTACCAAATTGTGAGGCTTTTTCTTCCTTTTTGGGCGAGACTTGAACACTTATCAGAACCTCCATCGTATGCGAATAGTTAAATGTTTATGTATTTTTCATTTGCATGCTTCAAGGGTTTTTCCTCCGGAGTCTCCGGTTTTCATTCCTCCTGCCGC